AAGACATGTTTAATAATAGAGTAAAGTTTCTGTTAAAAAGCTATCTTGGCCACTTCTGAACACAGTGTTTTCCTACGAAATAGCAAAAGCCAAATGAAAATAAAATTATTCTCTAATTTATATATTTTAAAGATGCTATGCCACTCATTGTTGGGGATATAAGTGTAATAATAGGATGTTTGTGCTATTTTTCAAGATTATTTTAATTATTCTTCTCATACACAGAAACATGATAGGAAAATATCTAGGAGTATACACTCATGACATTGTTCAACAGGCGATGATGTTCACACTATATATGTAGGAGGGTATGTACAGTAAAAAAATTATACTATTTTTTATATCATTCCTGAGTCATTAAACATTAAACAGAGGATATGATACACAACAGAGTTAAAAGGGGTACAATTACATTTGTACTATTCAAGGGATTTCTAAGCCCCAATAACTAACAGCCCTCTGGCAACTGATGCGTGTATTTTTGTTTGTATTCTCAAGTCCCAAAGTTATTTTTATGTAAATATTATTATCACTATAATGAAAGAATTTTGTGGTAACAATTATTCAAAATCACCTCATTTGATTATTGTGTACATGATGATAAAAGCAACAATTTTTTTATTAATGTTGGAGGTGCATGTAACTACTTTAAGGCATAGCAGATGCGGAAAGTGAGAGAGTTAACTGGGAAACTCATTGAACCATTCCTGGTAGCTTATTGACATATATACGTTGCAGCTTTCATAACCATTTTGCCAGCAAAATGTCCTCATATATATGGAGAGACCATTAATTATTTTATGGTCTCTGATACATATTGAATCCAAATAATATCATTTAATATGATTGAAACAATTAGAAAGGCTTCAAATTTACCAATTTAAGACAAATAACATATATTTCATAAACCCATTACTAATAGAGAATTGAACTTGTTATCTCATGCTCTGTCATCATTGACATTAACATTTGCAAGACAAAGCAACAGTAAGAGTTATCCTCCCTTCACTACTTGATCAAAATGGTCGTCTGGTCCTTGCAGTTGAAGGCCAAGTGGCTGAAGTTTTTAAAGCGAGAACGTCAAGGTAAGTGATTATACCTTTACTTTTTACTTTTATTCTGTGGCGCAGGTACAGATCTAGCACAATGTCATACATTATGCAGTCAGTCCTTCCATGATGATCTGTTCACCTTATTACAGCTGTGAAGGGGACGAAGCATTTGTTAAAACTATGTTGTTTCATATGCAAAGCTTTTTATCAAATTACATGTTTCTCAAAGGTTGATCCATAGTATACAGATTCTGCTCACAGGTTTGAAATGTTATTTACTATCATCATCATTTTAAGAGATTTTTACTATATTATCACTCATGTCACCTTGAACATAAGTTGGATAATGGCATAACACCTTGAAAATCTATCAACTGTTGAATATTTATAATTAATTTTAGCTTTTGATAGTGATTAGCAAATATTGAGACAGGTCATGATTGGTACTTTTATAGCGATATTTATACCAGTTTGTGTGTCACACAAGAAGTGTCAGAATTCAGAAATTCTCGTATTTACCGAGGGAGGGTGAGGGTAATACATGGATTCTTACATGAGTTTTTTTAAAACAGAATATGTACTGTGTACAGTACTTTTATCAACTTCATGCCAATCTCAGAGCATGGGTTCTATTTTCCCCCGTTTATTTTAACTTCCGCTCTCAGGGGTGCGATGGGTTAGCGTAGTGGTCAAAGAGTTCGCTCGTCACGTCGAAGGCCTGAGCTGGATTCCCACCATGTGTCACGGTGTAAAGTCTATTTCTGGTGTTCCGCGCCATGATATTGCTGGAATGCTGCTAAAAGCAGTGTAAATACATATTCACCCACTTACTCCTTCTGACACGTGAAAATCCGGGGTAGAAAAGATCTTCACCATCCCATGCTTGCCGTAAAAGGCGACTTACGGGGTCGGGTGGTCAGGATCGCTGACTTGGTTGATACATGTCATCGTATCTCAGTTGCGTGGATCGATGCTCAAGATATCAATCATTGGATTGTCTCGTCCAGATTCGATTATTTACTGACCGCCGTCATATAGCTTGAATATGGCTGAGTGCGGCGTTAAACAACAAACAACAAACAAACAAATTTACTCCTTTTGCCGCCGTCTATCCACTATAGGCCACTGATGCAGTTGATTCCGTGTAGAAGTGCTTAGTGCTTAGTTGTCTTACTAGGTGACTTAATGGATCGAAGGTGCAACGTCCTCCGACCTGCTGGATGTTTGCTTATACTATCAATCACTGCTTTGCTCTCTGCCCATGTGGACCAACATTTTACTGCAAGTACCAGTAACATCAAAGATGAGCATGCAGGTAATATTCCCTTGATCCTATGGGACGTCCGGCTTAGAATCGTCTTAGAGAGGCAGCTGAAGAGCCTCGGGGAGTCAGGTTCGTTTTTCGGTTGATTGCTAGTCATCGTACATGTCGGCGTGGGACGTTGTTCATAGCACGTTCATGTTCACGTTGATAGATTGCCACTCTGAAACAATCGACAACATCCAGCTTGGATATGTTACTTCTTAGAATGTTTCAAAGCTTGCATTCGTCTGCATCTACAGCATTCTGAAGTATGTATAATATAATACATCCGATACAAACCCTCTATCGTTATCAATCGTTCTGAGTGGTGAATATTTTATATCCGATATACACATGTAGATGTTTGGGATTTGGGATTTTAGTGTAAGTTCTTCTTATCCGTGATATTTTTTGTATTTGAATTGAAGATCAATGGTACTCAAAGTCATCCATCACTGTATTCTTTTATCATTATATTTCTTTGAATCTTGTCGGGTTTACATTTACAAATAAATGAAAAGCATTTGCGTTGAATATTTATAGAATAACCCACTCGGTACAAGTGATTACGGAAAATATGTCACTGACATATTTTACGTAATCAGTCGTACCGAGTGGGTTATTCTAATTATTTCCCATAGTCATATTAAAGACGTTTCAAGGAAAAAAACATGTCGCCGATCAAGAATCAGCTGTTTTGTATCTTTCCGCGTGTGAAAAAAAACTGTCTATTCACTCCAATTGCATGACGCAGTATTAACGTGTTGTTACGCGTGAAAAATATAGTTCTGTTAAAATTGTAAATATCACATTATTGCAGTTATATTTCTGCCCGATTTACACAGCGTACACTATCTAGCATTGATAAAGAAGACAAGTTTCCAAAAAGGTTCATCAGGTTTTTTCATCAAAGCTTGTTATGACAAGATCTCGTTACTGACAGACAGCCCCCGTCGTGCATCGGCAGAGACATGCATTTCACATTGAGAAAACACGGAAAACCTGTCAAATTATTTAGGTGTCATTCGGAAAAAATGCCACAATCTATAACAACAATATAGACGGAATGTACAGAAGTCTTGATTATTAGAGAAAAGTTACGAAAAGAAGGTAAACTTTGAAAAGTACGATTGCTGTCACAGTGTCTGAATGAATGACCCGACTTGACCCAGATATGGGACAGCTGAAATCAGGCATGACAAGAGAACCGGCGTTACAGTTTAATCCGGACAACAAGTTTATTGAACATCGTGTGTGATTTGAGACAAGTGTGACTGATGAGAAACATGTGCATGTGGGGTTTTAGGAGGACTTGTCAAACGCGCTTGTGGAGTGGACACAGATGGCGGGAGTTTGTTGATATTTTGATGTGATTAATAATAGTCAAATACCTGTTCATAGACTTACACGGTATCTGGAGACTTGGTGCCAAACTGTCCGCATGTACGTAGTTCATTTACTTCAATATTGGACACAGGATCAGCTCGCAGGGGTAAGTTTTTTTCCTTGTATGTTTAATTATTTTTGTTTTGATTTCAAAACCTCTCCGAGTTCAGCAAAGTACATCGATTTCGCAACCAGATGTTGGTAATCTCGTCGCTAAGGCATCACTCTATGCTACCCTTGATCTCCTTCAAAGTAGACATTTCGAATTCTGAACCGTCTGATGGGCATACCGAAATAATCAATTTGCAAAGAATAATGTTTAGTTGCACCTGTCCTGTGTCATTATAGACTTATGGTGCCCGGACGTCAGTCAGCCTGCATACAGCTCAGCGCCGTACTGTGCTGACCTCGCAGTGACAAAAACGTATATTTTCCGTAATCACTGGTACCTCGTGGGTTATTCTATAATTATTACCCATATGGGCTCAAATATGCAGTGTAATTACTTTCTGATATTTGCACAGTGTGCAATTAGTGATTCTCGAAGCTGATTGGTCAGTTGAACCAAGATCACTTTGACAGGTGATCAGACCAAAATCCTGTTGTTTTGGGCGAAAGTCACACTGCCAAACGGACAAGGTAATCTCAATACCATAATGTCACTCGGATCAACTCGACTTATTCCGTTACCTGCACCATACCTCGGCCGGGGTAGGGATATTGCATAACCGCGTAACGCCAGATCCCGCGCATATAGTTCTTATAACTCGGTGGCCATTCTTGAAGACAGGTGCTTCTGTGCCAAACAGAAAATAAGTTTCCACTCAGATGTGAAGATGAAACCAAACGGATATAATTCTACTGTTATATAAGGTTCCCGTCAGGTTATGTTGTGTTATGTGATAATCACGTGATAGTCATGTGATACGTTCCTGAATCAAATTCCAATATGGATTCCTGCCGGTGGTGGATGAGGCCGTATTTAACCGAGTCGAGCCGAATGATAATCCCGACTTACCTATCGAGGGACACTTAACGAAATCATAACAAGACAAATGCTTTTGTTTGATAGCAATGTTTGTTCCGTATTGTGTACATGGTAAAGCGACCCGTGAAGATTCCGAGGTAGCATAGGTCTTCAGCAACCCATGCTTGCCGTCTAATGCGACTCTGCTCGCCCTAAGAGGCGACTAACGGGATCGGGTGGTCAGGCTCGCTGACTTGGCGGTTGCAAGTTATCGTATCCCAATTGCGTGGATCGATGCTCATGATGTCAGTCACTGGATTGTCTTGTCCGGACTCGATTATTTACAGACATTCGTCATATAGCTGGATTATTGCTGATTGCGGCGTTAAACAACAACCAAACAAACAACATGGTAGAGCACAGCGGGGTACATCAGGTCCATGTCTGGCTTTCTTGTTGGTCAACCTCAAGCGACATGTCGTCGGGGTGATGGAGAAGATGTTGATGACGACGTCCGCCGCAGACGGGCATCATCATGATCACCAACACTGACACAAACAACAGCGCACCTGAAAAGTGGAGATTGATAACTTGTAAATCGGAAAGAACTTATCAGCCGGCGAAAGAATTTGTTTGTTTGTATTGTTATCGCCTAACTGGTGTAGCTGATAATAGAATCGTAGTTTAAGGTCGGTTGCTGTGTCATAACAAAAAAAAGCCTAGAAAATGGAACGTAATACTTAATGACTGAGACCGGCCCGTATAGGACCAGGGTTACAAAAGTTCTTCATCAACCCTTGTTTGTTGTAAGAGGCGACTATGCTTGCCGTAAGAGGCGACTATGCTTGCCGTAAAAGGCGACTATGCTTGCCGTAAGAGGCGACTAACGGGATCGGGTGGACAGGCTCGCTGACTTGGATCGCCGTCTTTCAGCTGGAAGAGGTGCATTAAACTAACTAACTAACTATTTAACTAACTAACTAACTGACCGAGAGGTTCAAGTTATATGGTTGTGGCACCATGTAGTGCAAGGAGACAAGGTCGGGGTGAGTACACTATTTTACACACAGGCAGAGAAGAATAAACGTTCACGTTTTGTCTGAGTTAACGCCTATGAACGTGCAAATGGAAACCTGGGCACCTGCAACTTGTATTGAGTGAGTGAGTGAGTGAGTAAGTTTGGTTTTACGCCGCTTTTAGCAATATTCCAGCAATATCACGGCGGGGGACACCAGAAATGGGCTTCACACATTGTACCCATGTCGGGAATCGAACCCGGGTTTTCGGCGTGACGAGCTAACGCTTTAACCACTTGGCTACCCGACCGCCCCAACTTGTATTGAGACTGGTGATTCACGGCTATGAAGACCTGTGAGAAACAATCGAGACAGTGTTCAATTGTTGTTACATTGCCTGGCGCTCGATTAAAGAAGACTGGTCGACTCAGAGTCGGTATAATGTGTCTGAGTTGGCTGACTGTTTAAACTGTGGCATGAGAGTTCGTTGGGCTATCAGTATAAAACCGCATACGTCCAGTGTCAAGTACAAGCACACACACACACACACACACACACACACACACACACACACACATGCAAGTCGCTGTATGACATATGGCTGAATGTTGCGTTTGCAAGTATTTCACTTCTATCTATTAATATGGGAGCCCTAAATCAGTGTTCACACTTTAGTCACAACCCATGTGAGGTGGGAGCTGACGAATCAGCGGCTCAAAATCCGGGAATCGATCTCGCACCCACTGGATCCTGACGTCAATCTGAAGCAAGCTGTGAATCTTAAGTACATAAATATGGAATCAAAGTTAACATTTCTCTCTTGAATTACCTGACAGATATATACTGTTGGAATAGGAACCAGTAGAATCGACAACCCAACCTGAAAACAAAACGAAAGACTGAATAAACTGGGGGTTTTTCACCTTTAAAAACATGGGTGTTTTATATGCCTGCACGTAATAAAACAAGTCAAACACGATATTATCTGAGCGACATGAAATCATAACGCAACGAAAATGTTAAGAAACAGTATTTAAATTTGACGCCCATTTTAGCCTTGATACTGCATTATACATACTCCACCAAACCATTACGCTGCCAAAGGGACGGTTTCAATTGTAAGCTAATTTACCACTATAGTTTCGTTTTGAGCCCAATTTGAATGACACGACGCTAAAAATAGCCATCCAATCAAATCACTGTCATGAGCGAAGGAAAGTCTGTGTTAGTTGACGACAGGAGCGGTGGAGGTGACATCAATTCCTAAACGAAGCTTCGCTGACGAATTTGTCCTGGGTATTTATTAAAATAGGATGGAAACATACTACACAGGATCATTAAAACGTGGATGATTTCTAGCCTTATCACACTTGATATCGTTTGAATATGTCTTCAAGCCGAACCAATCACATCCTTTTGTTTCTGCTCTTATAAGCAGTTAATTGTTGTCATCATTTCCGTGGTAGGACACCTCCACAAGATGAACATTTGTATTACATAACAATATTGTCCAAAGATACTAACCGGCAATAGGTGGCGCTACTAGGTATCCGCTTCCAGCAGCAATCATTTCCCAGCCAAAGGCAGCAGCTAGTTTCTCAATGCCAACACATTCGATGGTTAAAACGGTCAGAAGCGAGTACGACCCACCGCAATACATTCCCATCAACACCATGACGAGAGTCTGTGTAGCAATCGAGGTAGCTATGACAGGGGTCAGCATTACGACAACACTTGATATTAGCATCACACCAACAAAGACAGAGAGAGGGTCCGTTTTGCTATCATTTCCCATTGCACCGATCATAACTCTCGAGATTATTAGGGCTGGACCGTTCATCGCCATGGCCAAGGCCACTTCCGTTTGGGTGACGCCAAAAGTTTTGGCGAAGCTCGGAAAATGAATGAGAAATATACCTAGGCCAGAATTAAGGAGAAAAAGACTAAGACACAAAATTAAAAAGCCTACATTAACGTAAAGTGGTTTGGATTCTAAGTTTTTAATCTTTGACATTTCAAAGCTGATAGAACTTGAAATGTTCATGGCTGAATTTATTGAGTCTTTGACAACCAAATGTTGGTCTTTCCAAGAAACAGCCCGTTCTGTCTGAGCTGAATCGTAATCCTGTTTCAACATTTTGCCCTTCTCTGGTTCTGTATTTGCCTTACATGATTCACTGGCTTTGCGGTTCCTAAACAGCTTGAAGCACATACTATTGTCGTTGTGTTCGTGAACAGGAAACATAACAGCTCCGCACACCACCATCTGCAAGGACAAACCTGCAAGGATTGCCAGAGTCTCTCGCCACGACAAAACGTCGAGCAGGTGGCGACACACAAGCGGAAGTATGAGTATTCCCGCACCGGATGCAGATAGCGCGAGTCCCGTGACAAAGGTCCGCCGCTTCACGAAGAACAGATTAACGATGACGATGGAGGCAGAGTAGGTGAGTCCAAGGCCTATTCCTGTGCAGAAGAGACAGAATCATTGGAAATAGGTCACAATTTCAAAAACATACCTGATCTACATTTCAGACGGAAAAAATATGGATGAATATGAATGACATATACGACCGGATTTGTTCATATTACCAGTCAAGTCACGATCTAATGACCGCACAGCTTCCCTCTCCTTTCATTGTCCGGCTTCCGTCCGTCGCCAAAGTCCGGCAGTTGTTGGGCGAAACCGCATTATCAGTGGTTCATATTGGGAAAGGGAGGTCACTCTAACTTCAAACGGGAGCTATCTCCGTTGTTTTCGTATTTGCGAGTAATGGCGTCACCCACGCTGTACGTTGTTGGTCCAGCTATTAAATGCCCAGCTTATCCCTAAGGTAAATCGTATGCGTAATTAAATGTTTGAATGCATTATATATTTATGTTTCCATCCGTACATCTTTTAAGATTGGTTTAGTGGTGATAACCATTTTCTAAAATGTGGGCCCACATCTTTTCCGTCATCTATGGTGATCGAAACAAGTGGGCCCATATTTGTATTTCGCCTAGCTTCGTTAGGTTGTTTCGTTAGTTCTGATAATCAATCCCTTAATGTGGGCAGACGTTCTTCCGTCATATTGATGCAACAGGAGGGACCACATTTATTAATCGCGAAATTCGACTTAAATATTGATAATCATTTTCTCAAATGTGGGCCCACATTGTTCCCGTCATATATGGTGATCGAAACAAGTGGGCCCACATTTGTATATCGCCTAGTGGGTAGACGTTCTTCCGTCATAGTGATTGCAAAAGGAAGGACCACATTAAAAAATCGCTAGCTTCATTAGCTTGGCTTACTTATAACCATTTTCAAAAATGTGGGCCCACATTGTTCCCGTCTTATAGTGATCGAAACAGGTGGTCCCACATTTATAAATCGCTGGGTTTCATTAGGTTGACGAAGTCATTTAGGCTAGTGGGCTCACGTTTGTCATTATGTGACATTATATATTATTCATATTTTGTAATATTGATGGGAAATATCTTTATAAATCATTTCGTGTGACATTAATTGCATGAAAGGCACAAAAGTCTTTGTAGTTTGAATAACTGAGTCATAGCTGACCACACTAGTTTTACAAAAATAGCTACCAAGCAAGAAACTTAAATCTGCTTCAAATTAAATTTACAGAGGCAATACCACTCATTCTACTTTTTCCAATATAACACATCAATCTAATCTTAAGTGTTGGTGGCGATATAAGCCTGAAAATATGTCTACACTTGAACTGATCTCGGACATGATACAAGCCTCAAACGTTTCCGAGAACTTGTTCCATAAAAGGAATAACTCATGAATATTAATGACCCCACGACCTAGTTTGGCGATGTTCGTAGAAGTGAGTTCTGCTGTATTGCCATCTTATTTGTACATTTTAATCCAATTATAAGTCATAATACTTATTTTAAATAGACAAATTATGAGTTCGTTATGCGGGTTTGTTTACGTAGTATATATTCTCAACAACAAGTGCGTTTAGTTTCGAATGTGAGCCCACCTCGAACTTTCGATTAGACAAACGGAGTTAGCTCCCTTCTCGAACCACCGATAATGCGGTTTCGCCAGTTATTGTCTAGTGCTTTGCATTCCTTGTCAGAATGAGTGAGTATGGTTTTATATCGCGTTTAGCAATATTCCAGCTATATCACGGAGACATCAGAAATGGGCATCACACATTGTACCCAAGTCGGGTGCAGAACCTGAGACAATATCTTGCATCCTTACCTGAGACAATGCCCATGAAAACGAGAAGGAGACGTATACTGTGGACGAAGCTGCTGATTATGAGGCCAGCCGCCAACAACGTCCCCCCTGTGATGACCGACGCCCGGCAGCTGACTTGTGATGATATAACGCTGGACACTGGGCCTGGTGGAGAAATCTGACATATGATATAATGCTGGACACTGGGCCTGGTGGATATGTCTGACATATGATATAACACTGGACACTGGGCCTGGTGGAGAAATCTAACATATGATATAACACTGGACACTGGGCCTGGTGGAGAAATCTAACATATGATATAACACTGGACACTGGGCCTGGTGGAGAAATCTAACATATGATATAACACTGGACACTTGGCCTGGTGGAGAAATCTAACATATGATATAACACTGGACACTGGGCCTGGTGGAGAAATCTAACATATGATATAACACTGGACACTGGGCCTGGTGGAGAAATCTAACATATGATATAACACTGGACACTGGGCCTGGTGGAGAAATCTAACATATGATATAACACTGGACACTTAGCCTGGTGGAGAAATCTAACATATGATATAACACTGGACACTTAGCCTGGTGGAGAAATCTGACATGTGATATAACACTGGACACTGGGCCTGGTGGATATGTCTGACATATGATATAACACTGGACACTTGGCATGGTGGAGAAATCTAACATATGATATAACACTGGACACTGGGCCTGGTGGAGAAATCTAACATATGATATAACACTGGACACTGGGCCTGGTGGAGAAATCTGACATATGATATAACACTGGACACTTGTCCTGGTGGATAAGTCTGACATATGATATAACACTGGACACTGGGCCTGGTGGAGAAATCTGACATATGATATAACACTGGACACTGGGCCTGGTGGATATGTCTGACATATGATATAACACTGGACACTGGGCCTGGTGGATATGTCTGACATATGATATAACACTGGACACTGGGCCTGGTGGAGAAATCTGACATATGATATAACACTGGACACTTGGCCTGGTGGATAAGTCTGACATATGATATAACACTGGACACTGGGCCTGGTGGAGAAATCTGACATATGATATAACACTGGACACTTGGCCAGGTGGATATGTCTGACATATGATATAACACTGGACACTGGGCCTGGTGGATATGTCTGACATATGATATAACACTGGGCCTGGTGGATATGTCTGACATATGATATAACACTGGACACTGGGCCTGGTGGAGAAATCTGACATATGATATAACACTGGACACTGGGCCTGGTGGAGAAATCTGACATATGATATAACACTGGACACTTGGCCTGGTGGATATGTCTGACATATGATATAACACTGGACACTGGGCCTGGTGGAGAAATCTGACATATGATATAACACTGGGCCTGGTGGATATGTCTGACATATGATATAACACTGGACACTGGGCCTGGTGGAGAAATCTGACATATGATATAACACTGGACACTTGGCCAGGTGGTGAAATCTGGCATATGATATTACACTGGACACTTAGGCTGGAAGACAAAACTGAGATACCATGTAACGCTGGGCCTGATCAACATTTAGATACGATATAATGCTGGACACCGAGACTGGATAGTGACTGAGTTTGATTTTACGCCGCTTTTAACAATATTCCAGCAAGTTCACGGTGGGGGACACCAGAAATGGGCTTCACACATTGTACCCATCGAACCCGGATCGAACACGCTTTAACCACCGGAATATGACATAACGCTGACAGTATGACAGAAAAGTGATTATTGTTTACAGCCAGCAATATGCGATTTATGTCTAGCTGACATGCCAATTATCGAGACAAAGACAAAACAGTGCTTGATAGTCACCGAGCCTGACCAACCGATCCACTGTGTCGTCTCCCACAACAGGCACAGGGTGCTGGGTCAAGTCTAACCCGGACTCGGTTCAACTGCCACGCCCATTCCAGATTCAATGAGTTCATAAAATGATTAGCATATTTAATACAATCAATAGTTACAGCCAGGTTTACTTCATGGCCGCCCCGTGAAGATCCGGATTAGAATAGGTCTTCAACCCATGTCGCAACGGGCAACTGTACCTGTCGAAAGAGGCGACTAACGGGATCGGGTGTTCAGGCTCGCTGACATGTCATCGTATCACGATTGCGTGGATCAATACATATGATTATCCACCACTGGATTGTCTGGCCCAGTTTATTTACAGACCGCCGTCATATAGCTTGAATAACGATGAATGTGGCGTTGCAGAACAAACAAACAAACTGAACGGCCAGTCTGGCCACAGCTTTTACAATCAGGCTGTGTTCTATTCCGTACCTGCCAGCTGCATGAGTGACGCAAAGAGTGACGTCACCCATGACGTCATTGCGACACTCTCCTGAAACTGTTCCAGGAATACCGTCTGGAAGATGCCTCCCACATACGCCAGGCCTGGGCCTATGAGGAGATTTATGTAGGCCGCAAACAGCACGACCCAAGCCCAGCCGCCGTCTATGTCACGTGACTGTCGTGACGTCATGTCCGGACCCCTTCAGATCATATCTGAAAGAGATCAGTTATAGTTGTAATAGTTGTTTGAACATTTCTTTACAAAAACATATTGTGTTTGTCCATTGACAAGGAACACTTCAATAGGTTCATAATATACCTGGGTCGTTGTGACATATTTCTATTATGATCACAATTTCATATAATTATAGATTTGTGTCATTTTGTGTTAATGTTACACAACGATAACTAATATTGTTTATCTCTATATGTCCCGAATCCTAATTATTAAGGATCTGTTATTAGATCAAATTTGGTGTAAATGTTACACAATGATAACTAATATTGTATATTTGTATTTATCCTGAATCCTAATATACTAGTAAAAGGTGACTATGCTTGTCGTAAAAGACGACTTTGATTGTCGTAAAAGGCGACTAACGGGATCGGGTGGTCAGGCTCGCTGACTTGGTTGATGCATGTCATCGATCCAATTTGCGTGGATCGATGCTCATGATGTAAATCACTGGACTGTCTGGTCCAGACTCGATTATTTACAGCCCGCCGTCATATAGCTGGAAAATTGCTGAGTACGGCGTTAAACAACAAACATTATTATGAATTAAAACATATATACAAGTTTGTGTAAATGTTACATTGTGATACTTCTCCATAAACAAAATAGAATCATAAATGCATCAGAACCATACACAAGCACTTACTTACTTACACGAACACATGAATATGAAGTGGGGAGATCATAAGGCAACTTTTGATTGCCATGGCACAGTGCATAGTAGAACATAGGCGAGCGGCCATCATTTTAATTAGTTGTAAGTCAAGTGAGCTTTTTTCGTAGCATGTTTGTCCGGCGCCTGTCGTGTGTCGTGCTTCATGAACAACTCAGAAACCACTGGTCAAATCACTTTCAATATCGCCGCCACCCTCATTGGAAGCTGAATATTCTGATGGCTTAAATCAGCCCTATCTGTTCCAAATGTAATAAAATGGTATGTGAACTTAGCGGTAGGGCTTATAAACATGTTTATTACTTGCCCGTGAAGAGATCACCCGTTTAATAAACATATAGCTTTATTACACATTGTGTAATACCAAAACGCGTGCTTATGTACTCTCGGAACACGTTTCACGAACAAATATTGAAAGCTCTCAACATCTCTTGGCTTATTCAACGACATTGCGTGTGGAGTTGATAGATCACTGAGAGGAGCTTATGCACACTCGATGACCCCAGCAACCTTGTTGCTAGGCTGACGTCACATGGCATTGTTTCGCCGATGGATCTTGCATCAAAATTCCACAAATTACGTCATCGGGTATTGTGACGTTATTGAAAACTTTGAGGTGCAAGGCCCGTTCCACAAGGCGATCGTATTGTAGCGCAACGACAGTCGTTGGTCTAAGTTAAAGTATGTGAGATGCGAAAGTCTTAGCCCTACGATAACTTTGTGAATTCTAAAGGTAGACCCGTTGCATGGTATGAAATTCATACGTTTCAACTTTTGACGTGTTTGAAGTATTATTCTGTTAAACTCAATTTGACTATGTCGTGGATCATGTAGGTGTCAGCCAATTCATACTCAACAGTATAATTAAAAAAACGTTATAAATTGCAAGTAATAAATAAAATACTAAACTCGCTCCCGTGTAAAACCAATTTTATGAAACTCGTGAATAGTTGTGGTATCTGACTCGCTTTCGCTCGTCAGATACCACAACTTTTCACTCGTTTCATAAAATTGGTATTACACGGGAGCTCGTTTAGTATTCTATATATGTTCGTTTTTTGCCGATACTTTCAATTTCGATCCTTGCACGTTGATCATATTCGAATCCGAGTTTCGGTATGGCCATCTTGCCACCCGTCATGCAATAGTGCAATGGTGATCACTCTGTCAATAAGATTTGGTACCTAACTGTGGGGGTCTCAATATGTAAGTTGCGTTTCTTTGCGATATTTTTAATTCGGACCTTATTTTGACAATGCTCTTAAAGACTCTTGTGTATATATATATATATATATATATATATATATATATATATATATATATATACGCTGACTCTGTAAACCTCCTCTGAACCTTTGGTATGTATATTTCTCCTGATGATGTTCTCATATTTTGTTAAAAGCTTTAGATTTTAGTCTTATTTTTAGTCCATAGAATTTATGCAGATAATATTTGAATATCTTGCAGCAATTGTTTTAACTGTCTGTCTTTGTTGACATTTTAAACCGATGACTACATATGCAGGTGAGCTATAGTGTAATATATGTAAACTATTTAATAAATAAAGTTAATCAATTACCTTAAACAAGCAAATAAAGTGAAACATAATAATAAAACACCCCCAACACACACACACACACACACACACACACACACACACACACACACAACAAAAACAAAACAGCAACAAAAAACAAAAACAAAAAAAATAAAACAAAAACAAAAAAACGTAATCTTGATTCCAGTGTGCCTTACTGTCATGCAGTCAAACCAAAAAACATACAGCCACGCCCCATCAATCCTGACGGTATCGCCCGGGGGAAGACATTCCACGAATTCCTGATTTGTACTAATATCGTGAAACCAGGAACGGACATTCACGATAGTGAACGTGTTGAAAGCTAAGATGAGATTCTCGATGGGGCTCCTGACATGCGGAGGGCTCCTGACTTGCGTAGATCACAATACATAAGTACAATAGAATCGGTTACATTCCCATCCAAGGGACTCGCCCAATCAATACTTGTATCAGTCAGTAAGGCTTCACTATTTTGTGTACTGTCCTAACATGAACACAGGGTCAAAATGACTCGATCTCTCAGATCACTAAGACCGCATCCATGGTCTTAGAAAGCGTGAGCTCAGTGGTTCGATCCCCGACGTCTTGGCAAAAGACGTTAAAAGATGGTACTTGTTGTTTCAAAACCTGTCGCTCGACATTTTAGGGAGACCGGAAGGTCGGGTGTTCGATTCCCGGACGCGTCACACCAAGACATTTTTTAAAGAGTGTACACTGTCTGGCGTTCGGCATTGAGGAGCTAAAACAAAGACTGTCCGGCTCAGGGGCAGTATACTGAGTCTGAATGGGTATCCATGTTAAACTGAGGCATAGCAACTCAGTTGGATAACCCTATTACTACACTGTTATCTATTATCGCCATACTCCGGACCAGTGCAAAGCAGGCACACACATGCGCGCGCACGTGAATGCACGTGGCAATATATGGATCAATGATATCAAAGCGACGTTAAACCCAATTTCACCTCACCTCACTAAAGATCATCTAAGGATCAATGTTAATAATGTTAGCTAAGGTACACCACTAAACTTTTCATGGGGATATTCGGAGTGCCAGATGGGGGATACATCTGACTGAACGTTTGGACCGGCTAGCGTACGGACCTGGTCTGGATCTCACAAATGGAGCTTCATTTCAAGTAATAATAAACGAAAGGTAACATTGGAGCGTGCGTGCGAAGTTTTAGAGGATTAGTTACATACAAGGGCCGGTCGGGTAGGCTAGTGGTTAAAGCGTTCGCTCGTCACGCCGAAGACCCGGGTTCGATTCCCGACATGGGTACAATGTGTGAAGCCCATTTCTGGTGTCCCCCGCAGTGATATTGCTGGAATATTGCTAAAAGCGGCGTAAAACTCACTCACTCACTCACTGAGTTACATTCGAGTTTCACGTCTCTCCCAACACGATGACAAAATGAGTCCCAAGTTCTCTCCAATGTGTGAGTCTTAACAATACTACTCAATTCCTGATAGGGATACTGTGCCAGCTGACACTGTTACCAAAGTTGTATGAACAACGCACATAAACGTTTATTTTTGTTTATTATGAAATAAAGATTTATCCCACAATTTGTTACCCCGAGTGAGTGAGTTGGGTTTAACGCCGCTTTTAACAGTTTTCCAGTGGCGCATGTGTCAGACGTTTACCACTTCGGTGAAACCCACGAGCACGGGTATGGTGCTGACAAACCTAGAAACATAATCGGGGCGAACCGGGATTCGAACCCACAATCATAGGTTAGGCAACTCTGCAGAGCGAATCGCGGCGCCTTAGACGACTAGGCCATCCGTGCCCCCTGGACACCCAGAATATCCCTATCAAATGTTGAATAGCATATTACAAGGATTACTCACAGAATGTCACCTACCTGTGTTTAGCATCTATTGTACCTGTTCGACACCGCAAGTCACATACATACCAGTGTGTCCAGCAATGGTTGATCAGATTTGTGTGATCACCTCCACAGAGTGTTGGAAAAATGCTTGGTCTTGCAAATGTCGCACACTGCTTCGTCTTGACCTTGTCCTACAGTTTGGGCTTCAGTCACTGTACACCTTATTTGAACAGGACAGAGCGCTCGGGGACAAAAAAATTACAAGCAAATAGGACAGACGGGCAACGAAACACTTGTCAAATATTTATTGTGTCGTTCGTACAGCGATCACCGAGTGTCTTCGGTCATACATGAAATGAGGGCGCCTTTTCAAAGTGGTATTGACCTGTCGCCGACATACATTAATGGGCATATGATACCTTCGGGTCAGGACGGGAACGGTGTTGTGCTTGAAGCTGTGGTAGGATGTAGCCCGTATCTACCACATATGCAACTTATGTGTCGCTGGAAGAGTACACCAGGTGTATGACGCAGTGCACATAGGTGTATGATGAAGTATAATCAGGTGTATGATGAAGTATAATCAGCTGTATGATGAAGTACACTCAGCTGTATGATGAAATACAACCAGCTGTATGGTGAAGTACAACCAGCTGTATGATGAAGTACAACCAGCTGTATGATGAAGTATAATCAGGTGTATGATGACGTGCATCCAGGTGTATGATGTACACTCAGGTGTATGATGAAGTATAATCAGGTGTATGATGACGTGCATCCAGGTGTATGATGAAGTATAATCAGGTGTATGATGACGTGCATCCAGGTGTATGATGTACACTCAGGTGTATGATGAAGTACACTCAGGTGTATGATGAAGTACACTCAGGTGTATGATGAAGTACAACCAGCTGTATGATGAAGTACAAACAGCTGTATGATGAAGTACAACCAGCTGTATGATGAAGTATACACAGCTGTATGATGAAGTACACTCAGGTGTATGATGAAGTACACTCAGGTGTATGATGAAGTACACTCAGGTGTATGATGAAGTTCAACCAGCTGTATGATGAAGTATACGCAGCTGTATGATGAAGTACAACCAGCTGTATGATGAAGTACAACCAGCTGTATGATGGAGTACATCAAGGTGTATGATGAAGTACAACCAGCTGTATGATGGAGTACATCCAGGTGTATGATGAAGTACACTCAGGTGTATGATGAAGTACAACCAGCTGTATGATGAAGTACAAACAGCTGTATGATGAAGACCAACCAGCTGTATGATGAAGTACACTCAGGTGTATGATGAAGTACAACCAGGTGTATGATGAAGTATACACAGCTGTATGATGAAGTACACTCAGGTGTATCATGAAGTACAACCAGCTGTATGATGAAGTACAAACAGCTGTATGATAAAGTACAACCAGCTGTATGATGAAGTACAAACAGCTATATGATGAAGTACAACCAGCTGTATGATGAAGTACAACCAGCTGTTTGATGAAGTACTTGATACGTCCAGTAGAATACCTAGGGTCCTAACTACCCACATGTTGTTAGGTCTGTGTAGAAAATGTGTATATGGCTACAAATAGCACGATAATGTATGCCTCGTTTGAATATTTAGCAGCGCTTTGGCTGATGACTACCTCCATCGCGCAGTTGCGCAGTTGCTGATCATGTTCTGAGTTATCAAAACGTCACGGTCACAGCGCTGAATCCTAATCCGCGGATAACTAGTGTGAAGATTGGCCGTACGTTTACTAGCACATGACAGTTCACTGACACAATAGCATCTGGGGGGGGCATACCAATAAGTCTATCATGTAACGTATGTGCATATACCTTTAGAGAATTTATAAATCGTTTCATTTGAACGATCAAAACGATCATATGAGTTATTAATCTGTATTCACTTTCAAATTATTATTATTATTATTATTATTATTATTATTATTGTTGTTGTTATTTACAGATTAAAATAGAAAATGTAGCAAAGCGGGTTTGGGTGATCCTGGCACAGTCAGGCTGGTTAGGCTCATCATCAGCTCAGGGCCCTTGCCCCCTCTACACGCAGCCCAGACAGCGAATGGGGCTTCTCCCAGGAAGCGCTGCCTAGTCAAACCCATCCAGAACTTTTCGGAGAATATGAAGACTCCCCAACACTGCAGCCTTCTGCATTACCCAAATTCTCAGAAGGGCTGTGTTCCTTGTAGTAAACCCGGGTACTCTCCCAATGTAAGTCAACAGATTGGGAGGTACCAAACCTTAGGCACCGAGAACAATTGGGAGTCGGACTGACGGACAACTTGGTACTTGGGATGCAGGCGTATTATTATTATTATTATTCCTTCAAAGAGTAAGAGTGATCTTAAGTTGTGATAATATGCATCCATGACTCTGGACTTCAGGCTTTCCCCTCAAATTAGAATACTTTATGTATTGTGTGGAGTGACAAAGACTACAGTCATTATAAGTCGCGAATCTCGAGGGGTATACGTGCGTGATGTATCCTGTGTGTGAGCCTACATGAGAGGTCAGGCTCGGGGTACATAGGATCATACGCAGGTTACATCACACCATATGAGCCGAGGGATCGGTTGGTTGACAAAGAATGTATTTTTACCGACATTCATTCCTACATGTCCGGAATATATGTCCGCAGTTTCACTGAGTTCGCAAACCTCGGAGCAGACGTCGCAAACGAACCGAGTTACTTCCCTTTACCCAGTGCCTTAAGTGAGTGAGTGAGTGAATTGGGTTTAACGCCGCTTTTAACATTATTCCTGTTACATCACGGCGTGTCAGCTTAATGTGGGAGGAAAGCCCGAAGTGATGCAGGTCTCAGACGTTTACCACTTCGGTGAAACCCACGAGCACGGGTATGGTGCTGACAAACCTAGAAACATAATCGGGGCGAACCGGGATTCGAACCCACAATCATAGGTTTCTGGCATGCCCAAGGGAAGCAACTCTGCAGAGCGAATCGCGGCGCCTCAGACGACTGGGTCACCCGTGCCCCCAGATGTTCCAGTATTTATTGTTGAGTTAATGTGTTATACATAATATATTAATTAAACAATAATTATAAATACACATTTCATTTTGATAGGGGTATTAGCGTAGAGTTTGTATACATAACAAATATAATATTTCATTCTTTCAACACAACATTTGATAATAATCGTTCAGGAACCATACATACAATTACTTAAGCAGATCTCACTTATACCGTTGTCATATAAATCCTATATAAATGATATTTGCCGTTGAACGTAATATGTGTATTGGTTCTCCATCAGCATATGATTAATCATACATGAGTGCAATAAATACACAACTATTCATGACAGTAGATCTAATTCATTTACATATTCAATAATGACTGAGATATTATTCAATATTCATGCAGAGATTATTTAGAAATACACATAATACATAATATTTGCCACTTTCTATTCATCATAAATAGTACATTTCTATCATGATATTATTTGACGTAAATAATAGAGTTTGTATATGTGAGCTTACCTTAAATTAGAAGGGCGAATTCCTTGAGTCAGTGATCAGTCAAAGAGATGAGGTTGGGGATTTTACGAGCGTTTTCCGACTGTACGCGTATGTCGGACACGGTTTGATATGAAATCACGGACCTCTTTTTTAGTCTCAAAAGTACAGTAAACTACGGTTATAACGAACACGCTTATAACGAACAGACGGATATAACGAACAAACTTTTTAGTTTTGCCGTTTTGCTGTATATATGCTTATAACGAACTACGGTTATAACGAACTAAAAAAAGTAGTCCCTTTGAGTTCGTTATAACCGTAGTTTACTGTACTGGAAACACCGCTGATCAAAGTAGGAATTCTCTTAATTTGCCAAAAAATACAATGTGTCCTTTAATTTCAATTTTGGTTGGTTTGGTTAGGTAATTTACTGATAGAAATTTGATTGGACAGGCCGCAATGAGTTCTAAAAGGACGTGTCACGTGACCGAGAGAAATTGCGTTCATTACATCATATTATTTATATTGTGTTTTACAGCTGCTGCCTGGTTGTCTAGACAATGGTTATTAAGGTAATTTACAGGTAAAGAAATCAATAGATTGGTTGTTTTTTTAAGTTAGACACTGGCGATAGCATATGGTTGATGTTAATTAGGTTTGCTAGGTCAGCACGACCTTGACATGATGGGTAATTAAAGTGACATTTCAATGTAGTAACTGTATAGAAATAATTGCATGAAATATATGGCAAATATGTGTAAAATATATACATACAAATTGATATAAAAATGTTAAAGATTTTATCTTGAATTGTGCACTGTCACAATATCATAAGTATCGATCTATACAAATGGGATACGATGACATGCATCAACATCATGATGCATGTCATCGTATCTCAATTGCGTGGATCGATGCTCATGATGTAAATCACTGGATTGTCTGGTCCAGACTCGATTGTTTACAGACCGCCATCATATAGCTGAGTGCGGCAAACAAACAAATATTACCTATTCGTATTTAGGTCGTACACATCGATAAAAGAAACGCGAATATCATACATGTTGGTTAATATATGAAGAAATGCTCGTATTCAAGAAATATTAGACTGGTTCGATGCAAACACGAACATACAAATGTACGTACTGATATGTTGTGTGAATCGACGCTCATGAACGCATTACATGTGACGTCATAGATCCATGACTCGCGATGCACCAATTGTCTCGTGCAGGATTAGCGTGTAAAGTTTTAAAATCACGTGCAGCATATCGTGATAATAATAAAGCCGCTGTTGTAACACTTGACTGATTGTTAGTGCTACACATCGGAAACATCTCCTCTTAACATACATGCTTCTCTGCATGGTTCTAAAGTTCACGTTTTATTTGAGCATGTATCTGGAATACTGCAGGAAGGGTTGTCAACATACAAAACCATACCGTATTAGAGCTACGAAGTGTACACTGATAAGTGTTACATTTATGAAATTCACTTACTTCCTTACTTATATTGGAGATTTAACGTGCGCTTTCCGACTGATGCGTATTTCGCACACGGGCCCGGCCAGGCCATTAAATGTGTTTCCGAAAGGGGCGAAAGTAGTGTGTGCAACCCAAGAGGGGGCTTTAGGGCTTGCTTATATAGAATTGGGGAATTTTGAAATTTGTAATAGATGCCGAGGGGGTTGGGGAGGAGAACTAAGGGAGCTGGGTATGGTGGATGTTTGTTTGTTTATGTGATTTTGATTTGGTAGGTTATTGTGTTTTTAGATGCGTTTTATTAGTTCCGTTTTGATTAAGAATACGCCTAAGGCCTTGAAGTTTTCTAGTTTATTTTGTGGGTTTAGTGTTGCTTCTAGAGTGAGAGCCTTGTTTAGATTGAGGGTGGTTTGTAATGCGGTTCGATGTGTTAGGTAGTGTGTGCAGTGGATGAGTGCGTGTTCTGGGGTTTCTAGTTGTTTGCAGTGTGGGCAGTTACCTGTTGTGTTTTTGTATTTTTTTAGGTGGTTAATGAAATTCAAATACATGCTGTGTTTTTATATTTCCGAAACTGTGTCACCATTTGCCAGTAGGAGGCCTTAGTTTGGGTCAGTTAAGAAGCCCCTGGGTAAGCCA